GGACATTTCTAGTACATAAGCATTCATTTATTTTGGTGTACACAACTATCTGAGCTGTTAAGTAACCTGACCAAGTCGTGCTGACCTGCAACAGGTCAAATGTAGATTTCTCAGGGTACAATTTAGATGCATCACAATCAATCTGTCACTATTGGCTCACGGACTGAAAATCACAGTACTGAGTTATATGGGACACAACATAAATTTTGACAGGTCTTGTTCAAAGGTCAACCATTCCCCCTGAAGTTGCCGCCTCAGACATTTCTCTATGTTCAGGAGCCCACACTGGGCCATGCGGGCTATTCACCCTGCCCTAGATGCTCCATACATTTATGGCTATGAGGAGGAGCCGTCTCTTTGTTGTCTGAGGTCAGTTTCTAAAAATGTTCAGCCACATCATGCCACATTTAACAGTAACCGAAGAGCTACTCTCCTAGTGATCGCCCTGACCATGCAGTGAACTAAAAAAATCTTTAAAAACTAATTTAGAGACATTTTCAATTTTGGGGATGATGTTGTAAAGTTAGACATTTTCTCAGTGTATGATTTCGTGGTAGCACAAAACCTCATTCCTTTTTCTTGAATATCGACTGACAATGTGTGATAAAAAGACAAACTAACAGCCAAAATAGAACACAATTAATGCTGCACAGTATGGTAATCAAGGTGGTTTGGTGTCAGGCAAATGTGAAAAACCTTTATGACACAGTTGTGTTGGACTATTCGGTTCTTCTTACCATTGCTAACTCTGAGAGACGAGACAGTCCAAGTAACTACAAAACAGTGCTGATTTATTCAAAGGATCACAGGTAAAATTAACATTACACGCTCAGGTATCTTGCACCTCCAACCTGCACACAGGCAGATGTAAGATGAAAGACCCTGAACCCACCAGACCTATACATTATATCCCCTCGGTTGGGCTAGCCCCATACTACACAGAAACGTCAACCGAGACGTCTCTGTTACCAGCTCTGCAGCTGGCCATAGCAGTAGTCAAAACATGAAGCAAATCAATGTGTGTATGTCTGTTGATTAAGTGGTGTGTAGCTAAAAACATTCTCACGACCTCTAGTAACATGTCGTGACTTAAACATAAGAACATATTATGGCTAAGGCTACAGTTATACACGTCATAATAATATTAAACACCCTGTCTGCTGACAGTCATCAACTCTTCTCTCTAGTATCCTTGACCAGATGTACCCTGTAGAAACTCATAAGCATGACTAAGCATTTAACAGTCTAACTAGACATCCTATCTCCACTAAACATTTCTAATACAGAAAGTATCTATCCAGTTTCTATCTGACTAAAAATACCTAACAGTTCGTTTTACATTAATTTCCTCAAGATTCACATTTGTTATTTCTCCGATTGATCTTCCAACATCACTAGCAGCTGACTCTTTTGATATGTGATGCATATGAACACAAAGAACACACTGTAAGGCCAGGTTTCCAGCTGTGGCTTTAACTGATCAGCTCAAAGTTAAAGGTAGAAAACACCACATTACATATAATCCAAATTTTAATCAAAAGAAGACTCCCATCAGCCTGTACTTTCTAAAGCTTGTGAGGGTTTAATGGAACTGTGGCACTGTTGATTTTTTAGTACATGATTTACTGGATAACAAGGCCTAATGTGAGCGTACTTTACATTCAACACACTGATGACACACCAGACAGCATAAGTTATGCGTCAGTGTAAAGTGGGTAGGGTGATTTTTATGGATGCAGAGTAAATTTAAGGATTAAATCACAATGTTGATGGGAGTAAAAGCTGTCTGAATGTGTCTCTGAATGAATCTGATGGTTCCACATTTGTCTTTTCTTTACAACAGTTTCATCCTCCGTTCAATATAACATCACTCACGCATCCCCAAGGGGCTTTTTCCTTTAAGTGACCATAAACCCTTCTCAGAGCCATCACGTGATGGTGCAGATTCACAGTTTTATTACAGATACAGTATTTAGATATCCTAACCTTCCTGAACGACAACAGGCCAGTGGCACTCACCCCAATTATTATGAAGTGTTTTGAGAGAGTGGTGCCGGCCTGCATTCAGAGCAGTATACCGGTCACCCTGGACCCCCTGCAGTATGCCTACCGGCCCAACAAGACCACCTCAGACGCCATCGCGGCTGCCCTCCACTATTCCCTTTCTCACCTGGAAAATGGAGACTCCTACATCAGGATACTCTTCATTGACTACGGCTCCACCTTCAACACAGTTGTCCCCCACAAACTGTCCACACTGGGTCTGCACCCCACCCTCTGTGACTGGCTCCTGGACTTTCTGACTGGCAGGCCCCAGACTTCAGCCAGCAATATCATGAACATCAGCACTCCACAGGGATGTGTCCTCAGTCCCATCCTCTACACCAGGGGTGGCCAATTCCAGTCTTCGAGGGCCACTGTCCTGCTTGTTTTCCCAACTATCCCTGCCTGACCTGCTGATTACCTGGCTCAGGTGTGTTCAGTCAGTCAGAAGCTGGAAGATACCATCTTAGATGAAAGTGGAGTGAGGAAAGATAAAGTGAATTGGTATCTTCCAGCTTCTGACTGACTGAACACACCTGAGCCAGGTAATCATCAACAGGTCAGGCAGGGACAGTTGGAAAACAAGCAGGACAGTGGCCCTCGAGGACTGGAATTGGCCACCCCTGCTCTACACCCTGTTCACCCCCCAGGGCTGTGTCACCTCCCACAAAGACAACAACATCCTAAAATTTGCGGACAACACCGCAGTGATAGGTCAGGACGGGTCTACCTCATGTAATTCCATCTGTACTGTTTACATGCTCATTTTGCACACGCATAATTGCACACTCACTGCTGAGTATTTGCACTCCACAGCTCCCACGTAGCATATATTCTCTCTGCATTATATTGTATTGTATTTTTATTTGCTCCCTTCACTTGCTGCTTTAAAGTGCCTTAGATTTGTGATTTTACTGCCTATTTAGATTTGTGTTATTGCTCATCTACTTTATATTTCACTTGTATTGTGTGGCATTGATGTGGATGGCAAAGTAAGAATTTCATTGTACAGGGAAACATGTTTCCTAACTGTGCATATGACAAATAAACACCTTGACCTTTGACCTAACCTGCTACAGTGGTTTTCTTTTTTGAACTTTCTTCCCATCTCCTTCAGCAAACAAGTGGAAGAGATCGTAACGTACACTGAGGGGCCTCTCTACTACTCTAGGGAGGTAGGGGTTAAAGAGAAAGAGCATTTAACCAAAGCTTTTAGGGTCCACAGTGTTATTATAAATGCTCAGAGCCAAGGATGGTGTCCATGTTTCTCAGATTCATTCATTTCTTAAAATCTTTCTCCCAGATATCCTAACCTACAACTTAACAGATTTTACAGTTTTTCTTCTAACATCTGTAAGAGAGGTGGGGGAGAAGAAATGCCCTGCGTTAGTCGGTGAGTAACAACACCTGTCCAGGAGAAGTAGAGAGGGCGGAGAAGGAGCCAGCGTATATTTGAGAGAGGACGTTTGTCAGAATTTCATTCCATTTTCTCAAACTTAAATCGGTGAACAGTCAGATTTTGCTTTTTTTTTTTCTCCTAAGAGAAAATGTGTCACATCGCACTGCAAATTGCATTCGTTTGACATAACTTTATTTTTCTTTTCCCATTCCTTCTCATGTCTTTGCTCAGTTTTTCTTCTAAGAATAAGGTAAAGTATGGCACTTTGCAAAACCTTTTAAGCAAAAATACACAAAATGCCCCATTCCTTCTATTTTCAAGTTTTAAAAGTATGAACGCACAAGCACAACTCAAGCTCAGCACAAAGATGCCGAGGAAAAGTGCTGGACTTCATAGTCAAACGTGAAAAATATGGTCATATTTAGATGAAATTTTGCCGCTCCATGGCCAATGGATGTGGAGCTGTGGCAGCTCACTTGGGGGAAAAAAAAAAAACAATTAACCATGAAGAACAACAAAAAAAGCAATCAATAACATAGCTATACTGTGTGTTATGGTAGTGTTTTCTATGCCAATCAGAACCTTCAAGTTCTCAAATGGGTCACATTCAAAATAGCAACACAGAGTGCAGTGATTCTCAGTAGGTTCAGCACCGTGACCATTTCATGTTACTGTCATTTGCATATGTTAATAATACTGTGGTTTTAAATGGTTGCAAACTTAAACCTCTCCACCAATAAACATGATTTTAATGTCGAGACATAAAGAGCATCTTGTTAACCAGGTTAATGGTTTCATCAGGGCCAATGATAAAAGGCCAGCTAATGTCTTTCATTAACTCCCCTCTATAACACCAGAGCTCACTTACATACTGCCAGTTTTGTCCATTTTGAACGCTCCAACAAAGGCTGGTATCTTGACTTCTTAAATCGGTGAACAGTCAGATTTTGCTTTTTTTTTTTCTCCTAAGAGAAAATGTGTCACATCGCACTGCAAATTGCATTCGTTTGACATAACTTTATTTTTCTTTTCCCATTCCTTCTCATGTCTTTGCTCAGTTTTTCTTCTAAGAATAAGGTAAAGTATGGCACTTTGCAAAACCTTTTAAGCAAAAATGCACAAAATGCCCCATTCCTTCTATTTTCAAGTTTTAAAAGTATGAACGCACAAGCACAACTCAAGCTCAGCACAAAGATGCCGAGGAAAAGTGCTGGACTTCATAGTCAAACGTGAAAAATATGGTCATATTTAGATGAAATTTTGCCACTCCATGGCCAATGGATGTGGAGCTGTGGCAGCTCACTTGGGGGAGAAAAAAAAACAATTAACCATGAAGAACAACAAAAA